TTGTGCTTATTAGAGATAAACATTGGCTTAGTTGAAATAAAAGGCACTTTGGTGTTTTTGTCTGCTTGCATAACTGGCATTTTAAGCAAAATGAATATTAAGTTAAAAGCCATAATGAACATTTTTTGCCTGTTTTAAAAAGTGAATATAATCATGATGATCCTTCTTATTTGACACTCTGTGGGATAAATACAGTTAGCAGCCATGTGGTGGTGATGGTGCCCAGGGCATCTATTCCTAACCCACAGGCTTCTGTAGAGGAATTGTGACATCTCTATGCTGAGCAGTATGTGTGTGTGTGTGTGTGTGTGTGTGTGTGTGTGTGTGTGAACACACTATTTCTTGGCTGATCTCAATGGAATATACACAGAGATCTCACCAGGTTCTTCATTCTGAGTTGGGTATCTGTAGTAGGTCCCCTGGCTCCTAATATTAGCTTTCAGTTTCTCTCTTTATTGTTAGTAGATTGTACATAAAGACTCATAAAAGTGTTTTGCGTTAACTGTCCCACAGATTTTTTTCTTTCGTATTAGTACATATGAATACTTCAAGGAAATTCCATGCTAATAATTCCATGCATGCATACAGTGTACTCTGAGAAAGGTCACTACCTCCATTACATTTCTGTTCTTTCTCCTTCTTTGTTCCCCCTTTTTCAATCAGTTTGGTGGGTTTCATGATCTCCCATAGGTCTGTAGTGGCTGCAGAAGTTTGTGCAATGCGGCAGGTGGGAGATGATGGCAGGGAATACTCTGAGAAGACTTGAGTCCCCAGCTCTCTTGCCAACTAACAGGCCACCTTACCTCTTTGGTAACTGGATAATACCCATTCTGACAATGGATATGAAAGTCAAAGGATGTAGTAGACTCGAAAGTGCTTTTCAAGCCAATTGTACACCTGCAGAGGTAGCTCTTCTCCCTTGCTTTTGTGTGGTGATGACTCAAGAGTGTATTTATCAAATGAGAGCTTCAGAGAAGGTGTGGTGCCATCTCTGGGAAACTCCTTCATCCTTCCTCTGGGAATGCTTACATCAGCAATGGAATTTCTGTGTCTCTTTTTCTGGTATTGGCCTCATAGTCATCACTTTTGAGCCCATTAGTCTGGTGTATTTCTTTTTTTTTTTTTCTTTTTCAGTCCTTGGGCTTGAACTCAGGGCCTGAGGACTGTACCTGAGCCTCTTTGTGCTAATGGCTAGTGCTTTACCACTTGAGCCACAGTGCCCCTTCCAGTTTTTCCTGAGTGATAAAAGTCTTATGGGCTTTTCTGCCCAGGCTGGCTTCAAATTGCAATCCTTAGATCTCTGCCTCCTGAATAGCTAGGATTATAGGAGTGTGCCACTGGTACCTGGTTGGTTGGCTGATTTTTTTTTTTAATAATAGAAATTTGTTTTGGATGACATTATTTTCAGTCTACTGACTGAAAATTCTACTTGGTATAGTTTGTGGATCTTTAGATTATCTAAGTAAATTCAAATGAACTGCTCTAAGTAGGTCTTAAAGTCTTCATATTTAACATTTTAAGACAATGATAAATCTTGGTTCACCCTGAAAAGCAGATATTGTGTTTTCTTTTTATAATAAATTTAAATCCTATGGTACATAAATTGTGCAGGATTTACACTCTGCCTTAAACATAGTAAAGTATTTGAGCAGAAGTATTCAGCCCTGAGGTGGTAGTTAAGCAAATCAATTTTATCTTAAAATACTTCTACTCAAGAACCAACTTGTGAACTTTGGTTCTGAAAACAGAGCTTAACATGTGAAAGACAGAGGAAGTCTGTCGCCTCCTACCCTGCAATGGTTTGCTTGAATTCACACTGTCTGGCACCTTGACTGGGCGTAGCTGTGGGTTGTTTTTGGAATATTAATACCTCATCACATCTGGTAAGTGCTAACACACTGCCTGTGTTCACAGTGCCAGTGAAGGAAAAGGTACATGGTGATAAGAGGAAGGAAGTTAAGAAGATTCTTAGAGAGCAGGTGGTAAGAAAACAATGTGTGCATGCCCAGCATAGTCCTAGGAGATAGAATAATTCATGTAGGTTACTAAACCTACATGAATTTTTCTCCATGCATATGACATTCATTGGTAAGAGATGGGATGGGGGTATAGTTTGCAAAATAGACAACACTTTTCAGAATAAGGTCACTGTGTCAGATGTCTGCTAGCCTAATGCTAATTCAGGAAATGGGATGGTTGGAGAGCTAAAAAACAGAGCACGGTGAGGTGCAACTGACAAAGTCCTGGCTTAGAAATCTCTTGTTGCAAGGGTGTACTAGTGAGCTTTCCGTAACCAGCCTCTGAAATAATCAACATCTTAAGAGAGAAGACTTGTTTTCACTCACAGTTTTAGAGATTTTGTTGGAGATCAGCTGATCTGGTTGTTTGAGGCCTCTGATGAGGCGTCCGACCACAGCAAGAGCACGTGGTAGAATAGAACCAACCTCCTGGCCAGGCACCTGAAGAGGCAAAGAAGAGGCCATTGTCCTATAATCTGTCTTGAGGGCACGCCACAATAACCTAAAGAACTCCCACTAGGTCTGGCCTCTTAAAACTTAGCACTACCTCAAGGGCTCTGCCTTGAGTATGTGGGCCTTTGGGCCACATTCTAAGTCCAAAGTACAGAAATAGTCCCAGGTCCTCTGATTGCCCGAGTGTAGCTAGACTATATGGAGCTTTGGCTAGGACACTTAAGGAGATATCAGAGAATGGTAGTTACCTGATGCCTAGTTTTCAACATACAAGAAACAGATCCTTTTTTCCCCCCCAAAATAATGCCTTACTTCATAGGTCTTAGATCAGTGAAGAAAGAATTTTTTTTTTCTGATGTGTGGTTTTACTGTGTAGCCAGGCTGTCTTCCAACTTAAGGTCCTCCTGCTGAAGCCTCCCAAATACCGGGATTATAGGCATGCACCAACATAGGCTTCATCTTGGACTCCTGATCAGACTTTCACAAAACCTGTTGGAGTAGTTCATGAGTCAAGGAGCTATTAATGTACTGTTCTGTTTTAGATACAGAGTAGCTAAGTGACCTTTTATCATAATAGAATGAAAATATAGTGAAAGAGAATATGTTAAGTAGTGATTGGGAAACAGATCCATTACTGAGCCAGGTAATAAGCCTATGAAATTGCCTAACCCAAATCTCATTTTCCTATCACTATAATGTCAACATAGTGGGGGGGAAAGTATGAACAATGGCATTAACTAGCTGAGACTGAGAATGGCAACAGCTCCTTTGAGATTCCGTTTCCTCATCTGAAAAGGGAGCATCATGTTGCCCATTCATCAGAGGCATTATGTGAAGTACCAGCAATAACTTAGGAACTCACTCAAACAGTTGCTATACCCATGGCTGGTCACCATGCGTAGAATTAGCGTTCATTGAACCCACCTCTCCCTCCTGTATGATGAACATTCTTTTTTTTTGTCAGTCATGGGGCCTGAACTCTGGGCCTGGGCGCTGTCCCTCAGCTCTTCAGCTCAAGGCGAGCGCTCTACCGCTTGAGCACCACTTCTGGTTTTCTAGTGGTTTATTGGAGATAAGAGTCTCACAGACTTTCCTGCCCAGGCTAGCTTTGAACCGTGGTTCCTCAGATCTCAGCCTCCTGAGTAGCTAGGATTACAGGCGTGAGCCACCGGCACTGGGCTGATGAACATTCTTGATAGAAAGCCAGGATATTGGGGACAGTTTGGCCAGCTAAGGCCACTGAAATTTTAAAACTATATTGTAAGTTAAAACACAGTAGAAGTTAATTTTTCTCTTAGAACAGTTTAGGGTGGGTGTCCTGGCTCCAGAGGACCCAGCGCACATAGTCCTAGAAGACCTTAGGATTTTTGTGGTTCTGTTATCCTTAGTGGCTACTGTGACCTTTGTAGCTTGTGGAGGTAGAAGTAGCCTAGAGGAATGTATGAAGGAGGTTTTAAGGGTCCAGATGGAAGTGACAAATGCCAGTTCCTACCTATATTCCATTGAAATACGTTATTGGCCTGGGCGCAGTTAATTGTAGGGAGATGCAGTTTAGCAGGGCAGCTATTTGCCCAGATGCTGGTAAAAAAATGTAACTGAGATAGCCAGGGTTTCTGCCATCCATACAGGTTTACACTTGGCATTGTAGTGACCCCACAGAGTCCTCTTACTCTTCACTGAATAGCCAAGCAGACCTTTTAGCTGACAGTTTCTGATACATACCAAATTTAGGATTCAGACACAGAACATGTAAGTCACAGTAATGGTGCTTGTGGTTGGCTCTCCACAGCTACACAGAGCAAAATGCCCATGAGGGCATTGTCTGCTCAGGCTCTGCACTGAGGCCAGAGAGAGGGTGATGAGAGCCAGTGAAATGTCTCTATGTTGGGAGCTGAGCTACCAAGCTGAGGGGTCAGCTTGTGGCAGGCAGGAATGGCACTGGGAATCAAGACCGAAGATGATCCTTCAGTTGCTTCCTGAGAAATCCATCGGGAACAGCAGAAACTTAGTGACTGGGTAATAAGGGCAGGGAGGGAGGAAGTGTGTAACACAGGTTGGGGAAGTGGGCAGGGATTCAGGCTCCCACTCGTGTTCTTCCAGGCATGTCCCTCTAGTCCTGGCGGGGAGCAAGACACTATACAGGTATGTGCTAGAGACTGAGACAGTTCTCTTGTCAGAGCTAATACAGGTTGTAGAGAACAATCAAGAAGAAAATTTAAGTTAAGAAGTAATGTTAATGTCTAGAAGTTCTGTAGGAATCCCAGGGCCAGACAGAAACAAGACACCCAAACTGTCAGCTCCTGGCATTTGGACACTAATTCATTCCTATGCCCTACTGAGCTGGGAAGTTAAGGCATCACATGTCTGCTGCTAGCTTTAATTGGCCCCTGGAAAAGGAGACTTGGATAGCTTGGCTGTGGGGGTTGGGCAGTATTAGTGAACATAACCAAGGAAGCATCGGCAGATTGGCTTCTGAAACTGCATGCCAGCTCTAAATGCTATAAAAAATGTGTCTCATTTAATTTTTAGTCAACCACCAGTTCTTCAAGAAATATTCAACAAATGTTGGCAGATTCTATCAATCGTATGAAGGCATATGGATTTCATCAGGTAAAAAAAGACTTCATGTTTTGTCTTCAGGGGGCTAAATGTATAGCCAGTTCCACTGATGTTTCACAAATTAGTCAATTAGTCTCATGCAGAATTGAAATTAGGCAGCAGAATGTGAAATCTGTCTTGAAAGCTGCAAACACAGCTATTCATCTTGCCCCATTTATCTCGAGTTGGCAATGTCTTGGATGCCAAGGCAAGAACAGATGCCAAGACGCATCTGATGACTTTTCACTGAAGAGCCAAGACACAGGCAACGTCCCGAGGGGCTGTGAACACTGAGGGAAGAATGATGTTGAAGAGCCATAAATGGCACACTAACCTTGGTAGCCCTAGTGAATTCTGATGGTGTGGCTTGTGTGCTTGTTTCTGTGAGTCTGGCCCTTGGAGACAGGCTACCTCTTTGGACATCCATGTCCAATGAGGCAAGACCCCTAGAGACATGTGATTGCTCTCCTGCCCATCCAGATGTGACATTGTTCCCACAGGCTAAGCTCATCTTCTGATATGCAGAAAACATAGTAAGAATAGGAGGCTGCCCAGAGGTCATGTGATCCTCAGGACTGAGACCCTCACTCCTTCATGGGGACACACATGGAAACTGGGACAGCTCACAGCTTTGAGACTTCAAGAAGTCACACGTGATGAAGTTTTGGAATGCTAGTCCACACAGGCATATTGATGATACAATACAGTGTGTCCTCTATATCTACTTAGATTCAACCACTGGTTGAAAATATTTGGAGGAGAATTTTATCTGTATCGACCATGTACTGCCTTTTTGTTTATTATCCTTTAAATAATACAGTGCAATAATTAGTTAGACAGCATTTCCATTGTATTAGGCATTACACGATTTAAAGTATGTAAGAGGAGATGCAGGTTCTATGCAAAGACTCTTCTATGGTATATAAAGTAATTATGGTATATCAGCAGGGGCTCCTGGGTACTGGAGGACAATGCACACATGCCTGTTTCTAAAACAAGAGCAGTGAAGGACTTAAGGGAAGTTTTCAGCTGCGCCACCAAGATTATGTTATATTAAGTGATCTAGGACAGTCCATGTATTCACTCAACAATCATTTCTTGAATGTGTGCTGTGTGCTGGGTTCTGGGGTGGAAATTGCAAACATTTTTATGAGCAAATTACATCCAGCTTCCCTTCTCAGGGAACTTATTGCCAGTTGGGGGGAGGGGGACAGATGAGAACTTGGAAACCAGGTGATCGTATGTGCATGGCGGGAGATGAAGCAGGATGAGGGAGTTAAGGAATGCTAGGAGAATGGGAGGTGGTGTTTTTAGACAGGCGGTCAGAGAGGGCCACTCTGAGAAGTCCTACAGAACAGAGACCTGAAGAAACGAGGGAACAGGTGGATGGATGTTGGGAACACAAGAGACAGCAGGTATCAAGGTATGAAGACAAGAACTGTCTTGACATGGTCCAAGATAGCAGATAAGTGGTGAGAATGAATGAGCCGCTCACTTGCCATGCTTCTATAAACAAGGGTGAGGGAACTTCCCATGCTAAACATGGGTAATGAATCAGGCTTCCTGCTCTTAGATACAGCTCTGGACTTCTTAGGTTTTCTAGCTGCTCTGAATAAGTCAAGAGATGAGAGCCAGATCTCATTTGCTGTTATTCTGTGAAGCTTGTTCATTTGGTCTCCTTCCCTATTGAGCTCAGAGGCAGGTTTACTAAATACAGCATTCTCAGACATTATGGCATGGCCTATCATCTAGCTACTTAATACCTGTGCAATTATTCATTTAATGTTTTCCTTCACTTTTTAAACTTCCTGCTTATTCGCACCAAGCTTCTATGATAGTACTAGTTTGATCTTACAGCAATGTTTTCTTAGCCACTTTGAAGACATGTGGCGTGTGGAACAGAGCTCCATCTTTAGTATTTCTGTTTAAATGTGGAAATAGCTCCCAGCGCTTCTGTGTACTTCAGGTCTGTGCACAGATTCAGTCAGGGATGGTACATTGTAACAGTCATTTCAAACTCTACATCTGTTCTTTGGTTTTTAGACTCCATTGTGTTTGCTAGCAAAAGGAGCTGAGCTCTAGAGAGGTTAACAGAGTAAGGAAAATAGAGGACACATAAAAGTTGTTGTATGTGAAGGACAGAATTTATGAATTGTCATTGCATTATACTGTGACTTTCTATGGTGATTAAAAACAAGTTTCTTAGCATTTAGATTTGTGTTTTAGTTGTGGCAAAATAATTCCACAGTAAGGGAGTCTGAAAGTCTTGATCTTTGTACAGGAAAAGAAAGGGAAAGAAAGAGAGAGGAAGGAAGGAAGGGAGGAGGGAGAGAAGAAAGGAAAGAAGGAAGGAAGGAAGGAAGGAAGGAAGGAAGGAAGGAAGGAAGGAAGGAGCTCACTGGTAATAAAGAAGAAGGACATAGGGCTAGTCTTTCAGTCTGTTTATTACTTTGCTATCAAGGCTTGTGTTAGTTTACCAGGTTGTACATTCACTTTGCTAAGGAACTCTTAGAAGGCCATATCCACATAAACACAGTACTTTTTAGGTCTAAATGATTCAGGTTTTCTCTTCAGTTTAAAATAAGTTCCCTTGATTCTACTTAATGAGATGTACTTAAAACCATGAAGACAGTAAATACCTTCCATTTATTTTTATACTATAATTTAAAAACTCCCTAATTCCATGTGCGTGCGCATGTGTGTGTGCACATGCTGAACCTGAGGCTTGAACTCAGGGCCGGGGCACTGTCCCTGAGCATTTTTGGTTGTTGTTCAAGGCTAGCTCTACCACTTGAGCCACAGATCTACTTCTGACTTTTTGGAAATTCATTGGAGATATGAGTCTCATGGACTTTCTTGCCCATGCTGGCTTCGAATTGCAATCTTCAGATCTCAGCCTCCAGTATAGCTAGGATTACAGGTGAGAACCACAGCACCCAGCCTGAATCCCCTTTTTAAAAGAGCCATCACATCCATTATTTTGCATTTTCCTTGCTGAATGGAAGTTTTAAAATATGCTTTTCTTTTTTCCTTAAGCAACAACGTTCCTTTCTGAACCAGCTGTGATGCCTCAGTTTTAGGCCTTGGTTAGACGCCACGCACAGCGCCCACTGCTTCTCTACCCCGTTAAGTAGTGTTTACGCTGTGTTGAGCAGTGTGTTGACTTCCGGAAGGCTATTTAGGGTGGTTAAGTGCTCTGTCTGGGTGAGAGATATGTTTACTGAAGCTATACTCATCATCTGCACTCTGCCTGGCACTTTGAAATGTAGCCCTCGCTATAACCCTGTGAAATACCTCTAACCTTCACTCTCAGGAGTGGGTCCTCGAGTTCCACAGCTGGGCAGCCATGGGATTCAGGTGTGGCTTGTATCCGATGCTCTTCTAGTAGGCTAGAGCAAATCACATGATACATGTATGGCAACAGCACAGGGAAGCCCCACTATGTAGAGTCATTAAAAACAAACAACAACACAAGAGTCAGGCAGGTTTTATGCCCTAGTCCTTCCAGAAAACTGCTGAATGGATCGATCACCAACGCTTCTCTCTCTCTCTCTCTCTCTCTCTCTCTGTCTGTCTCTCTTTTCTCTCTGTCTCTCTCTTCTCTCTCTGTCTCTCTCTCTTCTTTAACACAGAAGAAAGAACCCTTGAAGAAAAAACCAGATGAAGAAATCAAACAAGTAGAAGAAGAGAAAGCCAAGCAGATTTGTACGAGCTGGAAAGAAGATTCGGAGTGGCAGGCATCTTGTGAGTATGCAGAGGCCTTGTTCCCAGCTTACCGCCTCTCAGCTCTCAGTTCACATGATGATGCGTCCTGAAAGCACTTACAGGGGTCTAGAGAGGCAACGTAACACTAGATTCACTAAGTTAACTGGTAGTTTTGGGCCAAGTGCTTTTGAATAGAATTCTCCTCAGTTTATATCATGAAAATGGAGACCCCTGTACATGAAGGAATAGTGTGGATGGAACTCTGAGACCCATGCTTTAGGAGAGTGTTCAGGGCCTTTAGAATATGTCTTTTTGGCTTGGAGAAGAAAAATAAGTTAAAGATGAGCATAAAATATCACTATCTGAAAGTAAGTTATGAAGGAAAAGAGCTGGAAGATTATTAACCTGTCAACATTAGTTTTCTTAGAGGTGAGATTTCAGACTATTTATTTGTGTTTTCTGCCCTGTTTTGTTTTCCCCTAATGTTCAACAGTGCATGTCCCTTCTTTTCTAGTAAAAGGGCTTGAACTCAGAACCTGGTGCTCTAACTCACACCTGGCACTCTACCTCTTGAGCCACACCTTCAGTTTTGTATTTTGCTGGTAAACTGTAGATGTAATCTCAAAGGACTTTTCTGCCCAGACTGGCTTAGAGCTTTGATCCTCCAAATCTCAGCTTCCTGAGTAGGTAGGATTATAGGCATGAAGAACATGTAGCCAGCTAATAGTTCTATTCTTCACTGACACCCTGCAGTAGTTGCAGGACATAGTGATGTTTGCATACAGGTGTCTTTGTGAACCCGACTGCCTGCATGTGTTAGCATCCTTTCTGTGGCTCTGAGCAAACCTCCACCCCCTTCTGAGCTAGCTCTGCAGAGAGAACGCTACAGGAGAAGAACAAACCAATGTCAGCCACCCCAAGTGTAGGATGCTCAAGGATGCTAGAATTCAGTTGGAGAAGGAACCAAGATTCCATTAGACACAGACAAAAGCTACACTTCTAGCTTATCCCTTGAGACAGGTTGAACAAGAGTGCAGGACTGGCAGTATTTACAGAATGTTCACAATCTGAAATTTTTCTGCAGTCCCATTATGGCAAATGCTATTAAAATGATAATTTTGTGGGGAAGTGAAAATATTTACAAGAACCAATCCATAACCTTCTGTGCTAGGTACTGAAATCCCAGTGTAATAAAATCATCTGGAGACCTCTTTGAAGTCAAACACGACAGGATTTGACCAATAATGCCTGGACTGAAAATATACTCTGTGAAAATTACCTTTACATTCTGTATTAGTGGTTTTTTCACATTGTAAAATGAAACAAGTCTCCCCAGCCACCATAAAAAATACTGTTAAAGGCAACTATGGGATACTTTTACATGTATTAATATGTTCTATACTTCTTCTAGAATGTGCTTGGATAGCATCTCTTTACTTTTTGTCTGTCATACCAGTTCTGATTTGGTTTAGCTCCTGGGGTCTCTTTGATTGCCTTCTCCCTTTTTCCTGGTCTCAGTCACACAGCACCTGCCTTTCTGGTCATGGCTAATGACTCAAAGCATACTGTGTCCTGAATGTGGGTTTGGGAGGGGATGGGACACGTGCCTTTTATGCTAATTCCAATCCGCATGCAGCGAGAGGTTCCACGCTTACCCTTGCCAACTTCACCTGGGTCACCTCCCTTCCTCCCCCTCTTTCTTCGCACTCCCTCTCTGAAGGTCCTGAGTTCCTAAATGCAGACAGTGTGGAGAATGGGCCCTGAGGTCTGATCACAGGTATCGATGGATAGATGGTCCCTTCCCACCCTCGGATGACAGATGCCATGTGCACTGTCATGGTGTGCTGAGGACTGTGTCTCCAGGGGGTCTTTCTCACACCCTGTTGTTTTTCTAGTGCGAAAATCCAAAGCAGCGGATGAGAAGAGACGCTCCCTGGCTAAACAAGCGAGGGAAGACTACAAGAGGTTATCCCAGAGGGGAAGAAGCGGTGAGGGGCTGCAGAGTGGTCCCCAGAAGCCCCGGAGACCGCCCCTTCCACCCAAGCCCCAGTTCCTACCGCCAGCGGGGTGCCCACAGAAACTACCTGGGTAAGAAGCCACAGCCACACACCACTGCATTTAGATGTAGGGTAAAGACACATATCAAGGGACCCAGAGGTATAGGTGGCCTCAGACTCCGATCCTCCTACATCAGCCTCCTGTATAGATAGGGGGATTATGGGTGTCTGCCACCATACCTGGCTTTTTGTTTGATTGTGGGAGTTGGGGGAATGTCTCCTTGTCTCCCTAACATCTTGCCTGGGCTGGATTTGAGCTGCGATCTTCCCAATCTCCTTTCCAAGTAGCTAGGTGTACAGCTGTGGGTCATCATGCTAGGCTGTGGGCGCCCAGGTGTGATTGCAGTTGTCATTCTGAGATAAATAAATAGCCCACTTGATATTTGGAGAAATGGGACACACTCCTTTTTGTGAACGAACTCTCCCTGGTGAAGATGGTACCTTTGCCTCCTAGGCTGTGGCAGAATTAGGAAGAATAATGTGTGTTGGAATGTACCAGAAAAATACATTACGACCTCAGCAGGAGCCCATTCCTCATGTTCACTGAATAAAAGCATTTTTGATATTCTCTTGTCTATTAGTAAGTAGTGTTAGGGATCAAATCCAGGAATAATGCATGGTAGGCAAGAGCTCTACCATTGAGCCACAACCCCTGACCCTGGAATATTTAGAGAGAGAATGTGTGAAGTCAGGTACTGATTGAACAGAGCTATGAATATCCTTGCTTTCTGAAGTAAAACCTGGAACTACTTCTTTGTTAGGAATTTGGGGAATGAAAAACAAAAATCGGACTGCTTCGAGTCAGTAGTTACTGCCAATGCCTTCCCCACCTCCAATACCAGGGCTGGAATTAAGGGTCTGTTCTTTAGCCTTTTCAATCAAGGCTGGCACTCTACCACTTGAGCCATGCCTCTACTTCCAGCTTTTTGCTGGTTAGTTGGAGATAAGAGTTGCAGGAACTTTTCTGCCCATACTGGTATTGACCCTTGATCCTCATTTAGAGTGGCCAAGATCACAGGCATGAGCCACCAGCATCCAAATTCTTTTTTCTTTAAACAAGGAGACTTGAGGGTGGGCCTTTCTTCAGTCATGATGGCTGCTTGCCCGGCTGAAAGAAAGAGTCCATATTTACACAAAGAGCTCAACACCCATGGACCATGCACTAGGGAGGGACCGTTGAGGGCATGATGTTTTCTTTCTGGACAGGGCAGCCTCTGTTGTGAGCTGTTCTGGGCTCAGTTTTTCCAGATGAAGAGGAGGCAGCATGAAGTACTTCTGGTGTGTCAGACTGGATGGGGTGAGGCTTGGGATCTTAAACAGCCATGACAGAGGTCAGCCAGGAGCCAGCCGAGGAGAAGACAGACACGCACTCTGTCTTTGGAGATTTTTGCTCCATCCCTAAGGATCATTGAGAGGAAAAGAACCTAATTTGGAAGCTAGTACAATTGTATGCCTATGAAAAAGCTGTCTGCTTCCAGGGGAAGTCAAATATTAGAGGGTATCTTTTCCAAAATGCTCGAAAATCACAAGGGATCATATATCCACATGTACGCATGTGGACATATAATCATGACTAGTTCACGTTAGCATATGTCATGGCATTAATGTACATTATGAGACATTGCAGTAGTTCATCTTCCCTCTCTGTTATTGCTGTGTTTTGGAATTTTTTTTGGTCTGTCTGTATTGGGTTTGAACTCAGAGCCTCATGTTCTTGTTGCTTGGCTTTTTCTCTCAAGGCTGGTGTTCTACCATTTGAGCCATACCTCTACTTTTGGCTTTTTTTTTCTGGTTAGTTAGAGAAAAATGTCTCACAGATTTGTCTGCCTGGGTTGGCTTTGAACCATGATCTTTGGATCTCAGCCTCCACAGTAGTTAGCATTACAGGCTACAGGTGTGAGGTAGCAGTGCCCAGTATGTTGGCTTTGAACTGAATTCTGTGCACACAGTGGACTATTTGGGAAGGAGCTGAAATATGTTCACTGCATTGCAGACTTGCTTTTTGTAGTGAAATTCACTCCAGCCTAGAAATTAAGTTTGGCCTGTCACTTTATTGTAGAATTATTCTATTGCTTTTTCTTGCAGGCCTTCAGTCTTCTTCCTTGTTACTTTATATTTCTGACATTATCTTTTGGTTTTTGTTTCTTTTTGGGTGGGTCCAGTCATGGGGCCTGAACTCTGGGCCTG